TGCATTAATTTTGATGGTTTTGGCCCCAGGGGAGCAGGGACCATGAAATTCAAAATTTTTGTCCCCCTTTGCACAAAGATGCTCCATATCAAAATTGGTTGAAATTGGTTCAGTGGTTCCAGAGAAGAAGTTGAAAATGTTCAAAAGATTAAGACCAATGAACGACAGACAAAAACAGATTGCAATAGGTCACCTGAGTGAATCAGGTGACCTAAAAATGGCCATCAACATCCAAGGTCTTCAGATACTGCCATATTCTTGAAATAATTATAGTTATAGCATTAGGCCAAAAAAAATTAATCAATAGTTTCTCAGGCACCGCCGCATCAGGTCAAAAACGGCCGCATTGATCAATTTTATTGACATTTTGAAAAGGGAAATAACTCAATTTTCTATTTTTCCAAGTTAAAAAAGAAAAATAAGTTATTTCCCTTTTCATAACAATAATTGATAGACGTTTTTATTAGATAAACAACATTCTTCTAGTCTATACAGTCCTTTATTAATTAACTTTAAAAGAAATGTTTAGAATAACATAATTTAAAGTTGAATACATTATAATTAGTATATTAAGGGAACAAAAAAGTGAGAATCAGTTAATATCATCATTTTGTTGAACGACGGACATGAAAAAAAGATACCTGGTAAAAAAAAAACAAAAAAAAAAACAAAACAAAACAAAACAAAACAAAAAAACCTGCCTGTCGCATTGAATTTTGAAATTTTTGGCCTGAGAAACTATTAATTAATTTTTTATGGGATTAGCTTACTGGCTTTCAATTCAGGTGAGATATATGCTTTGCACACAACTTGAAGTTTTAAATGATACTATTGAGTAAATAATTTCAGAGTCAGCCAGCAGTTTTCTGGTTTGCAGAGAAGGGAGCTCATTGATTTCATAGTAAAAAGTAAGTTGTTGCTAGATTTAAAATTTTGTGAATGTGAGCATTTGTAATGTACACCACATGCATGAGGAGTACTCTGAATTGCCTTAATATATCAAAAATCGCATCTGTCATACCTTGTCTTTGCCACTCCTCCAACTTGCTTCAGCTTTCACAAGTGTACAGGAAGATTATTCATTGGTCTGTAATAATTTTGACCTTAAACCTCAGAAAGGCATGACAATTAAAGATGCTGTAAGCCCGCAAATGACACTCTCATTGCATTTTTCCCAGCTAATGCATCCAATGTTTTTCCTGTTTATACAGACACAAATTTGACACTTTTTATGTCAACGACCTTGAAAAATATTATCTTGGGTCGAGGACATGATTCACACTCAGTTCATAAGCATTCATAAGCCTTAACTAAACTATGGAGGCCAGACCTGGCTCCAAGACCATGAACCGAGAACAGACTTAAGAAAAGAAGATGCAAACTTTTTTTCAGAAACCATAAAAATAACTTAAGTCATCTTTATGTAAGTAAAATGAATTGTTTAACTGCATAGATTTTAATTTTCATTCTAAATTTCACAAAAATGTCCAATAAAGTGATAAAGAATTGGATAGATTTATAGGGGTGATTGCAGAAAAGTAGAATTTTGAACATCACAGAAAGTTTACAATTTCTTACTATTTTAGAAATACTTATGACTTAAGTCAATTCTCAGTTTCAGGTCTGGGGCCAGGCCTCAAGACAATAAACTGAGAAGGGTGAATTCAAAAAAAATGACCAAATGCATATTTATCAACCCAAACTAAAAATACAGGCAATAAAAATAGATTTCTATGTCTCAGCATATGTCTTTAGATAGTGTCTATATACCTGCCAAATATCTCATTGATATCTCGATTAACAAAAAAGTTATGCCCAAAAATGATGCTAAAATTGTCAGGAGTGCAACACCTTTTTGTGACATTTTGAAATTTCAATATTTTTTGGAGATCTGTGAAATAAAAAAAAATGCTTCATGTTGAAAATAAAGACTTTCCTGATAATATTCAAAGTATTGAGCTTTAAATGTGGACTGTCATAACTTTTGTTTAATCAAGTTGTGATCATGGCTGATGTTTAAAAAAATGTTATACCATGTCAGGAGTGCAACAGAAAAAATGTAGTGTTGCCAAAAAAACATCAGTTGTAAAATTCTGATAGAAAATTAAGACAAAAAAGAATTTTGGAAGTGTAACATAATAACTGTTATTATATGATTGAATAATTTCCCTCTTTCTGATTGGCTGAGATCCAACAATGTTAGAAAAATACTACGTTATATTGACCTACACGTGACCTTCCAGGTCAATATAAGGAATTATTGCAGGTCAATATAATGAATCACGTGACCTTCCAGGTCAATATAAGGAATTATTGCAGGTCAATATAATGAATTATTCCTGTTCCATTTTTTCATGTTACAATGTGTTCTTGTTGAAATTTCTCGTTAAAACTTTCAATTAAAGCAAAAAAAAAAAAAACAGTCTTGTAGGAGTTTGCTATCATTTAATCATATAATAAAACAGTTATTGCTGTTTTTTGAGGTCAATACGATGATTAAGACACCTTCGAAGTACAATATTCACCTCGCCCTTCGGGCTCGGTGAATATTGTACTCCTCAGGTGTCTAAATCATCGTATTGACCTCAAAAACCAGCAATAATTGTATAATATACATTTTTAAACTTAAAAATGTTACATAAATCATAAGCAGCATTAATGAGAGTCAAGTATATGTGTATACCCAAAAATGTCAGGAGTGCAACATTTGATGTTTTGCTCCCAAGCATGAAAAAAATATTATCAATATATGATTTTCTGATTTTTATTTTGGAAAATAAAGACAAAGAACATTTTTACCAAAAAGATTTATCAATTACAGGATCTGTCTGTGCTTCAGATCCATATTTCTATGGTCAGGAGTGCAACACATTTTTTTAAAGATTCAAGTTGTGTGTCGAAAAGACTTCTATTCATGCTTAGAGGTATTCATTAATTAATAATGATCTTTTGGTATAATTTAATGCTAAATTATTGATAGTTTTATTATTAAAATCCTTCCTTTTTCAATTTTATCAATTCAGATATGTTTTTGTCTTTTTTGTGATTTTTTTAATGAACGTTAAAAATAAACACACTAAAACATTGTCATTAAATTCAAGTTATTCCTCCTCAACTTCACTGAAACAACAGAACAAGTTCTTGTGTAATTTTCACTTCACAATTCTACTTTAAAGGCCCCAATGCTTTTGGTCAGGAGTGCAACAAATATGTTAGAACTATAAATCATCCAATAAGAATAAAAATAAAGAAAAAATGATGAGTAGAATTTTTTCTGGTGGGTTACTGTGTTTGTCCTCTAAAGGAAAATATGCTTTAAAATATATTTTATCTTCTAAATATACATTTAAGCTAGTTTTTTGGCATAAAATAGGGTATAATTCCAGATAAAATGTGAACTTTAAATACTTTCATCTGTTTTAATAATGAAGTATTGGACTAAAAGTATTGCACAATTTCATTACCACTTGATGTTGCCAACACTTTATAAATTTTTGTGTTCTATGGTTTTAATTTTAAACTTTACTGCAGTAAGGAGTGCAACAAAACTGCTTTATAATTACCAATGCTTTTTAACTACCTTTACTAAAAAATAAGTTGAAAAAAAATGTTTGATACTATTTGATGTTTAAAACACTATGTCTATCAACAAATTACAGAAATTTTACAGTCAATTCAGGGAATAGTTTTCATCATTTCACATTTATTTTAAATAAAATTTATATATATTACACTTTGCAAATAATCATGTATTAAGGTCTTCAAAATATGAAAAACCTGCCGTAAACGATGAAAAATATCAACACAACAAATTGATTTACAAAGTAATAACGGGTTATTGTGTGTTATAATTTTTAAAACAATGTTAAATAAAATACATATCAGATGTCAGGAGTGCAACACAATAATGCAACATAGGGTCACTTCAAAATCTGGTATTTTTTGTAAGAGAACTCATATATAACAATTCTTTTTTGGCTTAGATTTAAAGAATTGACTTGGACGGACAAAAAAGTGAATTTTGGGGAATTTTATTGCTTCATATTTTTTTCATATTAAAACTTTTCAAACCAGAATTGAAAAAATAATATAAAATAACAATCAAAAAGCCAATTTTTTGTCACATGTACAAGAGAAGATACTCATTCAAGGTCTAGATTTAATCATTTATACCCCTTTTACCATTTTGAAACATAAAAAACTATAATTTCTTGTGATTATGTATTTAGAAAGTCTTTTAAGGTGTAATGATATTTTCTTTTTTCAAAAGAAATTTTACTAATAAAAATTCTGAAACTATTTAATCCAATTGTCTATTCTATTGCCACTTCAGGATTTTAAACTAGAATGCATTTGCAATCTGATGATATAAGTGAAAAATATGTTATAAGTAGTTGAATTTTGCCAAAAAAATTCAGTTTGGTGGTCATTTTTTTTTTAATTCACCCAGAACACACTTAAGTCAAAATTTTGATTTTGAATATCTTGAGTTTTATTAAACATACATAATTAAAAATTTGCAGGTTTGTATAATATTCCAATGTAAACATATGATGAAAATTTTGTTCCATTATCAAACTTATTTCAAAAGTTATATTAATTTAAAATTTTAACTTAAGTCTATTCTCAGTTTATGGTCTTGGGGCCTGAATTGTATACTTTTTCTTTCAGTGACCTTAGTCTAAATGACATTGATTCAATGTCAGAACACACCCTCAGGTTTTATGCAAGCACTGTGTCAAATCTGGCTTCTAATATTTCTCCATCTGCAAGATATGGTCCAGACAGGAATTGTAAATTCTGAGCAAACTTGAACTTGTTTGGCAGAATGATGTCATTTTCTTTTCACCAAGTCATTTTAACAAATGTGAGTCTCCTTTATCCCCTAGAGCTTTGGCCAAAGTAGAAGTAAATCTGTGTTAAAAAACTGAAATTGATTATCTTTTTCTTCAAAATATGAAATTTAAAATCTACTGAATCCAAACAAATGATAAAATAAAGTCAATTCTACATGTATATCTAAATATAACTCATCCTAAAGTTCATATATGTAAAACCAAGTTGGAAAATAAAATGTCAATTTGCATGGCAAATCTTTTAATCATTTCAATTTTTTGTTTTTCAGTGTGTATTCATATTGTCTGCCTCTAGCACTAATGTTTTCCACGTGTATGGTTTCAGGGTCAATAACAGCCAGTGAAACTCTCTTAGGGAAGTAGTTTCCTTTGTACTGCCTTTGAGCAGGGCTTATTAGATGGCGTAAATGATACCAGGTCTACATCTTTATCTTCTACTTCTCGAATAAGTTTCTCCTCTCTGAAATAATTAAAACATACTGTACATATTTAAAATAATGATGCAAAATGTTAGATATCAAATCATTCTTGAATGCTGGGATGGAAAGGGTGCATTTATTCTTCAGAAAGCACATTTAAATAAATTCTAATATAGAAATCATGCTGTTTGTCTGTCCTAACATCAAAAGTTTTATTTGTTATTACTGGTTTCTTGAGACTCTCAAGTCTTAAGTATCTTTCAACATGTATATTCACTATATAAGAGATGGATAGAAGAGGACAGGTACAGTTTTGGGGGGTCAGTTGATCACAGTTTAGGATAATTTTTGTGGTACAAATCAGGTGTTTATCTGATGCATTCAGCAACAATTCAGATATTTTTAAACCTACAGACATATTTTGCTTATAGCAAATTGACAGTTGTGTCAAAATACTTTGTACAGAATATATACTTAAACCAAAATTCCTCATGTTGGTCCACAGAGAAAGGATTGTGTAAAGAATCCTTCCATTAATTTTGATGTCACTTGAACAAGTTATTGGCCAACTAATAATGCCATTACATATGAAAGTGATGAAATGGGTATTTTTAAACCCTAAAATCTACTTGGGCACACAATGGTAAAATATTTGGAGGTCATTCAGTCAACATCAGAATTATACATTTTCCCATGAACATACTGTGTGCAACATAAATTATTTGAACACACATACTTTGTATTCTTAACTTTTGCTAAAAGTTCAAGGTTTAAATAAAACAAAAGACTCATGGGTCACAATGCTCACCTGAGTCACTATGACCTTATTGTTCTTTATCAACAGATTCTCCCCCCTATATACATGATTTTCTGTGTGGCCAAATAAAAAAATATGTGTGGTTCCGGTTACCCGACCTTCCCTATTTTATACCCCCGACCTTAAACTTTTTTTTTGGCAATTTTCATATTTTTTCCGGAATTTTCCCCGATTTCCATCAATGGCTTCGATTTAAGTTTTAGTTTCAGCAATGACGACCTCCTTACAAAACATAGTGCAAGTGTTTAATAGTATTAAGTCCAAAGCAAGCTAGCATGAAGGTGTCCCCTACCAATATTGACTAGTATATTATCACATCACATCTAAATGCCATTTGCAAAGCAGTGATAGGTATTATTTAGAAAAATTAAGAAAATCATTTTGTTAAAAAAAAAAAAAAATTCCCTACCTACCTACCCTAATTTTTATGGAAGTGTAACCGGAACCACACATATTTTTTTGTTTGGCCTGTAAAACTTTGATTGTACATTGTGGCTCCACCCTATCCCCAGGGGTCATAGTTTGAACAAATCAAATCTTCACTGCCAAAGGGTGCTTCCATATGACATGGATCTGCTGTTCTTGAGAAGATTTTTAGAAATTGTTTCCTATATATTCCTATGATAAACTATGATTGTCCATTTTTGTCCCACCCTTCAGGGAACATATTGTAATTTGAACACATTTGAATCTACCCTACCCAAGGACGCTTCCATATCAATATGACCAATCGTGATTTTGCTGTTCTTGAGAAGATTTTTACAGATCTTTTCCAATATATTCCTATGTAAAAATTTGATTCCCTGTTGTGGCCCCATCCTAGCCCCAGGGGGCTATAATGATTTGAACAAAGTTGATTCTAAACTAGGTAATGAAGCTTTCACATTAGTTTGATCTTTTCTGGCCCAGTGGGACTTGAGAAGATTTTTTAAACAATGATACATTTTCACTAATTCTTAATTATCTCTCCTTGACAGAGGGTTTTGTCCTTCATTTGAAGAAATTTAAATTCCCTTCATGCAAGGATGCTTTGTGGCAAGTTTGGTTGAAATTGGTCTAGTGGTTCTTCAGAAGAAGTCAAAAATGTGAAAAGTTTATGAAGTAGTGACAACCACAATGCCAACAATGATGACAATGGACAAAAATTCTTATCAGAAAAGCTCACTTCAGCCCTTGGCAGGTGAGCTAAAAATGACTAGTTTTCTTTCCAGATTTAAATCATTTGTCTGCGACTGAACCTTTCTGAGACACTATCAAAGGAAACCCCTAGTTCAACTTTTGCCACAAAATGTCAACATCAAAACCACTCATTTTCTAATTGTTCATGCTGTATAAATGGCTTTCTTGTTTTTAACTAATTACAATGGATAAACAGAGATATTCAATATCAAGAATCTATTTTTAAGCAAACTTTGCAGTTAAAATTACCTTTTGTTAAATGCAAACTTGGAGAAAAGGTCTTTGATACTCTGTTGTTTGTTATCTGCTGTTATTGTGCCTTTTCTGTTTTTAGACAGCCCACTTGCTCTACACCGTGACTTTACAGAGCCTAAATATAAAAATAAAATGAAACAAATGTAGACACTTTGTTTTGACATGATAATTGTAATATTTTTCTTTTGACTTTGACATCTGCACCAACACTTAAAATCAGTGTGTCACTAAGATGAATCAACAACTTTGTGATGCCAGCAATTAGAATTTTGTATATTGTACACCAACTTTTATTCATGTGCGAGAAATATCCTCGAGTTTCGCGGCCTACTTTCTCTCACAAATATTAATCACTGTGAACCATTTATTTTGCTTTGTATTTGTAGAGAATGTTTCCTAAGTCACGAAAATTTATCATCACGGATTGATTTCAACCTGACGAATTGCGAATAAACAATGACCCGAATAATAGTTGGTTTACAGTATTCATCTTTTGCTTTAAAGTGGAAAACATTTCTAATCATAAGCTTAAAATCTGAATTGTTGACTAAGAGAATCATGTGATTTTAAGCTCGTCTCAGCGAAGTTGGGGGGGAGCTTATGTAATACCCTCGGCTTCTTCGTCCCAGGTTAAAGTTTTTAGAGCAATATTTTTCAAGTACTTCTAGGCCCTATATTAATCAGAGATGTATGGAAGATGCTTCTAGTATGTTTCATTGTACTAGTCAAGGATTCAGATGCTGCAATTTCAGCTGAAGAATGACTAGAACAATATTTTTAGAGCAGGCTAAAGTTTTTGGAGCAGGTCCATGACCAAGAAACAATAAGGCCTACCTGAAGCAAACTTGCATGGAAAATGCATCAAGGGATGCACACTACCAGAGTTACTTCAGGTGCTGGACTTGACCTACATTTTCTAGATGAGTGACCAAGTTAAAGTTTTTGGAGCAGGTCTATTACCAAGAAACTATAAGGCCCATCTAAATCTAACTTGAATGGATAATGCATCTAGGGATGAACACTCTCAAGATTTGACTTACATTTTCTAAATGAGTGACTTGTTTCAAGTTTTCAGACAAGTCCATTCCCAAGTAACTGCAAGCCTATCACAGACTTGTCGAAATCCGTCGGTCCTGTCGGCAAGGCTGGTAAAAATTTGTCTGGACCGACAAGTATTAAGAAAACGTCGGTCCATATGACCGTTTGAAAAAATCCAGCGTGATGCAAATTTAATAAAGGTCGGGATGCGCAGTTGAAGGTCACAAACACAGAAAAAATGGCAGCGTACGCAGCGTGTTGACGATATCCAATTAAATTTGTTATAGCAAAGTCATAAAACATGTCATTTATGTCTTTTATTAAAGACTTGTAATATTTTAGGCTATTGAAAATAACCCAGGGCATTTTGGTGCTGTTATTCATATGACTTTCACAGCGACAAAATAAGGTACATGTATCTGGTCTGACAAAACTTTGACTGGTCCGACAGAACATTTGACTTTGTCAGACCAAATGTCTGACAATGATTTAAAAATTTCGACAAGTCTGCTATCAGACCAAAATTGCATAAATGTTTCATCTAGGAATGCACACTACTAGATTATTAATTAAGTGTGCGATTTTGCCTTTCTTAAAGACAACATTCATTGAGGTGGGCTCTGTAATCTCTGATTAACTATGTTTCTCTGACCTGAGAAAAGCAGTATGAGTAAATTCAAATATGGTACTGTAAGCCAACTTTTACTCTCACTTGAGGAATTTCCACAATAAACACTTTTGTTTCTTACCTATACTTGACTTTTCCTTTGTTTCCTGTAAATAAAACAAGCATAAATTTATATTTCCACAATTTATTGATAACGTGTTTAAAAAGAGAAACTTAGCATGATGAATTTGAAGGGACCTCTGGATTTACATTGCTTAATTGCTAAAATTGAAAATTGGTTTGATAAAAATAATGTACATGTACTTCAATTTTTTTTTCATCTGAAAATGATTTACATTTTTAAGACTGCCAAGTTTGTAAAGAAATTCACAAAAATGTATTGGTAAACCCTGTTCACACCGAAAGATTGCTATATTAAAGCAAAGTTATATCTGAAGCATGAAATTAAGGAAACAAGAGACTTATAGCCACAAAGCTCACAAGAGTCACAATTCTCTCCCTGACAAATGATTTTGTACATGTAAATAAATGAAACCTCTTTTTGTCAACTCTAAATTCAAAGTCGATTTACCTTGCTCTCTTGGGAAGATTTATAAAGTTTTTCTTGTACAAAGCATACTCCTATGTTAAATTGATACCTTCTATTTATGTGGCCCCATCTTTATTGATGGGGCAATGATTTAACAAATTTAACAAATGTTCTGCATTATTCATTATCTTCCCTTGAAAATTGCCCCTTCTCAATCATTTCTTAAGTACTTTAATTTAAAATTCTTACTTTTCAATTTACAGGAAAAATACGGATTGTCCGTATTGCTTTTAAACTTTAAGTTCTGTAAACCTTTTTAAATTTTTTTGGCTGCATATACAAACATCTAAAATACTTAAATAAAGTTTAGGTAAGAATTATGGGGAATTAATGTGTAAATCTGTGTTTTTCATAACATTTATCAATGTGTTAGTTAATTCAAAAATAATAATACATGTAATAATAAACCTACCCACCTTGAAAAATATGGGTTGAAGTAAATCAAACAAAAAACAAGAGGCCCAACGGCCTTGAATTGCTCTTCTGATAAACTGTACAACCTATCACTTCTATTTAAGTCTCTAAGTATCCTGTATATTTAGATAAAGCCTTGAAATTCCAAAGGTAGGTCATCATGACCTACATTTTAGATGAAACACTCTGAGAACCCAAGATGATTCTAAGCCAATTAGTACCTGAGAGTAGGTCATGGTGACCTTCTTATCACTTGTCATTCTCTGAGGACCCAAGATGCATCAAATAAGTTTGATGATTCTAAGCCAATTAGTACCTGAAATATTTAATTAAAGCCATAAATTTTCAAAAGTAGGTCAAGGTGACCAACTTTTCAAGTGACGTTTTCTGAGGACCTAAGATGCATCAACTTACAAAGTTTTATGATCAAAGGCCTTAAAATGTCCAAATTATGCCTCTAAAACACTTTAAAATCGAATGCCTACAAAGTTAAAAAAGTAGGTCACTGTGTTTTATAACCCCAAGACGCATCATCTTACAAGATTTAATTATTCTAAACCTCTCAGTATTCGAAATAATGACCTTAATTGTTTTGAAAAAGATTAGCCATAAAATTCAACAAGAGGCCCATGGGCCACATCGCTCACCTGAGTAACTTTGGCCATGCTGTTCATTACCAGACTCCCCCCTTGTAATACCTATTGTCGTCCCACCCTCCCCCCAGGGGCCATGATTTGAACAATTTAGAATCTACACTACCCCAGGATGCTTCCACATAAGTTTCAGTTTTTCTGGTCCAGTGGTTCTTGAGAAGATTTTTCCTATATATTTCAATGTAAAACTTGGGATTCCCCCTATTGTGGCCCCGCCCTATCCCCTGGGTCATGATTTGAACAATTTAGAGTGTACACTACTTGAGGATGCTTCCACATAAGTTTCAGCTTTTCTGGCCCAGTGGTTCTTGAGAAGAAGATTTTTAAAGATTTTTCCTATATATTTCAATGTAAAACTTGTATTTCCTATTGTGGCCCTGCCCTACCCCCCGGGGTCATGGTTTGAACAATTTAGAATCTACACTACCCCAGGATGCTTCCACATAAGTTTCAGCTTTTCTGGCCCAGTGGTTCTTGAGAAGAAGATTTTTAAAGATTTTTCCTATATATTTCAATGTAAAACTTGGATTTCCTATTGTGGCCCCGCCCTACCCCCGGGGGTCATGATTTGAACAATTTAGAATCTACACTACCCCAGGATGCTTCCACATAAGTTTCAGCTTTTCTGGCCCAGTGGTTCTTGAGAAGAAGATTTTAAAAGATTTTTCCTATATATATTTCAATGTAAAACTTGGATTCCCTATTGTGGCCCCGCCCTACCCCCAGGGGTCATGATTTGAACAATTTAGAATCTACACTACCCCAGGATGCTTCCACATAAGTTTCAGCTTTTCTGGTCCAGTGGTTCTTGAGAAGAAGATTTTTAAAGATTTTTCCTATATATTTCAATGTAAAACTTGTATTTCCTATTGTGGCCCCGCCCTACCCCCGGGGGTCATGGTTTGAACAATTTAGAATCTACACTACCCCAGGATGCTTCCACATAAGTTTCAGCTTTTCTGGTCCAGTGGTTCTTGAGAAGAAGATTTTTAAAGATTTTTCCTATATATATTTCAATGTAAAACTTGGATTCCCTATTGTGGCCCCGCCCTACCCCCGGGGGTCATGATTTGAACAATTTAGAATCTACACTACCCCAGGATGCTTCCATATAAGTTTCAGTTTTTCTGGCCCAGTGGTTCTTGAGAAGAAGATTTTTAAAGATTTTTCCTATATATTTCAATGTAAAACTTGGATTCCCTATTGTGGCCCCGCCCTACCCCCGGGGGTCATGATTTGAACAATTTAGAATCTTCACTACCCCAGGATGCTTCCACATAAGTTTCAGTTTTTCTGGCCCAGTGGTTCTTGAGAAGAAGATTTTTAAAGATTTTTCCTATATATTTCAATGTAAAACTTGGATTTCCTATTGTGGCCCCGCCCTACCCCCAGGGGCCATGATTTTTACAATTTAGAATCTACACTATCCCAGGATGCTTCCACATAAGTTTCAGCTTTACTGGCCCCGTGGTTCTTGAGAAGAAGATTTTTTAATGACCCCACCCTATTTTTGTCTTCTCTTGATTATCTCCCCTTGTGAGGGGACTTGGCCCTTCATTTTAACAATTTAAATTTCCCTTCACCCAAGGATACTTTGTACCAAGTTTGGTCAAAATTGGCCCAGTGGTTCTTGAGAAGAAGTCAAAAATGTGAAAAGTTTACAGACGGACGGACGGACAGACAGACGGACGGACGGACGACGGACAAAATGTGATCAGAAAAGCTCACTTGAGCCTTCGGCTCAGGTGAGCTAAAAAGTAGGTCAAGGTGACCTACTTTTTAGTTGACATACTCTGAGGACCCAAGATACATCAACTGACAAAGTTTGATGACCATAGGCCTTAATTGTTCAAAATATGCCTCTAAATCATTTTGAAAAAGAATGGCCGCAAAATTTAAAAAGTGGGTCACCGTGACCTACTTTTGAGTCAACATGATATGAGGTCCTTAGATACATCAGCTGACAAGATTCGATGATCCTAGTCCTTATAGTAAGCAAAATATCAACATTTTAGTAAAATGTAATTTTTGGTCAACTTTGAAGTGACCTTGAGACCATGCCTTTAGCTCCAGGGTGATTTCCCGTGCAAATTTTTTATTACAACATATCCTCATCCTTTTGTGTAAGTTTGGTAATAATCTGCCCAGAGGTTCTTGAGAAGATGATTTTTTAGCAACCAGTACTTTTGTTTCTATTTTCCTAATTATCTCACCTTGTTTAAGGGTCACAACCCTAGTTTTAGTATAAACAGGAGCCCTTGGGCCAAGGATACCCTGTGACAAATTTGACAATAATTGGCCAAGTCGTTCTTGAGTTATGACCCATATTCTAAAAAGTTTATGCACACAGCACAAATGGCCATAGCATTAGCTCTTTGAGCCTTTGCTCATTAGAGCTTAAAATTTAACGATAGCCTTAGTAATCTATTTGAGGATACAAACATTCAATGGGTCCAGTATATCACTGTAAGGCAATCTGAGTAACTGCTATTTCCACTGAGAAGTCTTTAATCCCCCACCACTTCTCTACAGAGACTTATTTTTTGTTACATAATATATAAATATCAGTAAGACCTTGCCTGACTTGAGAATTCTGATTCTTTACTTTTCTGGGCTTCATATTCCTCAGATATAATCTGTACTTCCTGGCTGTCTGGGAAGCAGTCAAGGTCAATACTATAGGCACCACTCTCCTGACTGTAGGACACAGAGCTAGCCTGGCTCAGAGAGTCCTGAATGCTGCCCATATCTTCACAACTCTCAACATGCTGAAGCCGCTTGTTTGACAGCACCTCCGAATTATTCTCCATTGATTTTGAGGAAAAGTAATTTGAAAGACATGGTTCCGATACCACTTTCTTGTAACTTGAATTCACTTTGTTTGATTTTGTGCTAGCAATATTGTTTATCTTTGAGAATTTAAATTTGGACCAAGTGAATACTGAGCCAGGGGAGGGTTTTGCTGTTGAAGGACTTTGTTTTATTTTCCTGTTTTTCTCTGTTTCATCTGGCTCTGATGCCAGTGAATTTGAATTGTTTGACATTCCTTCTTTTTCATTCCTTTCTTGTTCTGTCCAATCATCACTCCTCTCATTCCCTTCATCCACTTTACTCTCAGTACAGGTTTCAGGTTTTGGAATTTCGACAGGTGGAGCAAAAAATCTGTAACAAGATCACTACACATTCAATGACTTCAAATTATTGAAAGTATGCACAAAAAGTAAAAATATACAAAAATTTTGATAACATTACACAAACCCTTTTTAGAACATAAAATTCCTTTTTTTTGAAGGGGGGGGGGGGATTTCAATGTATAAGTAATACCCCATTCATACGACGAAAATTTACTTATGTGTGCAAATTCACACATAAGTTAATTTACACACATAAGTAAAAATTAATTTGCTATGCGTTCAGACGAGTTTTATGTACTGTAAATAAACCCTCATATTGTCATTTAAAAAAAAGAGATGGACAGATTCAGATTTGTGAATTTTCACAGAAAAGGGGTATTTCCTTACTATTTGGGTATGGGACTAACTTTTGAATGTTCCAGAAGGAAACTGGAAGAAAAGTCAGATCCACTGATTGGCAGACCGAACCGTTCTAAACAACTTTAAGGACGAATATTGGTTTGAGAATTTTCGAAAAAAGAAGGAAAATTTCTTAAAACTTTGTGAAAAGTCGGAAATTGCTTTGGTCCCTGATTAAGGTGGCTGTTACCATCTACTGGTTAGCGTCTTCAGCGGAATAAAGGACGATTGGAAATCTTTTGGTGTTGAGAAATCTACCGTGTTTGATTGCGAACATCAAGTTTATTATGGAACATCTGTTGAAGAATATGTGTATTTTCCAGGAGAATGAAAATGGTGAAGATAACAAACTGTGATCGATCTCAAAAATCTTTATACAATACAAATATGTGAAGAGGGAATAAACACGGACCCCTGGTAATTCCAGAGGTGGGATCAGGTGCCTACAAGGAGAAAACATCCCGTTGACCGGTCACACCCGCCGTCAGACCTATATAATGATCAGGTAGACGGAACATTCTATAGTCAAATTAGTATAAAACAAAGTCCTAACAATTGGTTTGAAACAAATCAGCCAAAATATGACCCAGAGATAGGTTATATTTGCTAACAATCGCATTATAGTCACCATTGAGTTATTTTCCATCGGTCTCCATACTGGACGTCAACAAGCCCAGATTCCTTCATTATTCAACCAATTTAAACTTGTCATACTGGATAATGAGGCAAAGTTTTTCTTACGAATTATGTTAACAAAAGGTTCCTTTAATTCATAAGTTAAGTAATTTAAAGATTTTTGTGCCATACAAGTTTAAAATTGGTTGGTCAAAGAGGAAAATTTACTAGTTTGACCCCCAAGATGGTGGCCAGGGGAAATAACTCGAAAGGAAAATACTTCATACGAAATATTTATAAAATGCCGACTTTAAAGAGGTTGTTGACATCCCTGTAACATCTACTTATCTGTCAGTTAGTAGCCTGATTCACTTTAAAGCTGAAAAAAGGATGAAGAAAGTCATAAAGGGCTAAACTGTGGTGAGGTGATTAATGCACGCATATTCCTATCATTGTTCCAAAGCATTCACATGGAGACTTCTTGAACAGAAAGGGGTTCTACTCATTTAATCTGCAGGGTGTTTGCGACCACAGCTATACCTTTAGAGACATAAAAATAGGTTTTCCCGGAAGGGTTCATGATACCCGCTTTTTTGCAAATTCAAAAATTTATTTTACAGGAGATAATGCCTTCTTGTTTCCAAAGTGGAGAAAGCAATTTGGAGAAAGTACTATGCTAGACAGTAGTACTTCTCGGCGACCCAGCGTATCCTTTGAAGACTTTGGCCTTTGAAGCCATACACCAGCAGTTCTACCTTTACAAAAACTAAATTCACTTTCAACTATAGTTTAAGTAGAGCAAGAATGACCATTGAAAATCCGCATTTTTAGAGCTTTGGTTTCTAGCCGCCATGTTACCGACTGATATTTTACACGCCAATGCATACACAACAGTAGCAATGCTTAAAATGGAGATTGATACAATACACAAGACGAAAAACTTACATAAGTAAATTTGCTGCATGTTCATATGACAAAATTTACACACTGGAGCAAATAATTTGCGACAACGTGTATGCAAAAGTTAATTTGCACCTTGTCCTGACCAGGTGCAAATTTACTCAACTGTGCAGAATTTGCATATGAGCAAATCCGTTAATACGACACAAATTGCACATGTAAGTAAATTTGCATATGTGTAAAATATACTGAAGTATGCAAATCGTGTCGTATGAATGGGGTATAAGACTCAATGTTTTACATGTACACACCTGCTTTTGACTATATCCTTGGAGGCATTGATGTTAAATTTTTCCTTCTTTTCACTGTTTACAGCAAACCTGTTTCTTATGGGAGATGGTTTTGGACACTGCTGTGGGGAACTAGGAACCTTTCTCTCACTGATCTGAGCCTTTGATGGAGAGATTTCACAAGCATCCTGATCAGCATCTTTTAAGGAGTCAAAAAATTGCACTTTGTTAGGTGACATGTAAAGTTTTCGGAACTTCTTCACTGGACTCTTTGGGAGCTCCTCTTCAGAGTCACTAGAAGTTCTCCGCCTTTTCTTATGGAATGGTGGGGATGGGGAATTTTCTTCATTCTCTTCCAGGTACATATTGGCCAATTCTTTATCAGACTTAACATTTTTATCATCTTCTGAAATAAATTAATGGAATTTTAAATTATCAAGTACATGTACCAAGTGGACTGTCCTTGAAAGTTTCCACCAAATAGACTTTCTCTCAAAATTTTAATGTAAATAATAAACATTAAAAATCTCTACCTGGAGATGGCCTTTTTCGATGGAAAGTATCTTTCACTATGACCTCTTTACCTAGAAGATTAGGTCTCTCAATATTTTGTACCTCTCTTAGCTCTATTTTAGGTCTGATTCTGTAGTTTTTGTCCCAGACACTCAGTCGGTGCAGCTGTTCAGGCTTTTTCTTACTGGCTTTTGAGGGCTTTAAATATACAGAAAACAGCTACATCTTACTACCGGTAGCTTTAAAACTAAGAATATGTGATTATGTCAGAAAAGCATTATAGATTTTAGGAAATAACTTAAAGTACATAGTTATATCATTTCTTAATCATACATCTGAATCTCATTACAGTAAAACTTGTCTTATCTGGACACCTTTGATTCCTAAGAAATTGGCCGGATTAAACAACATTTTGGATAAGTTAACATTTCAAAACAATTAAATTTACCAAATGGGACTTAAAATTTTTTATCATATTAGGAAAGATTTCAGAATACACAATATCTGGATTAGAAAACTTTCACTATATGATTAAATAAAAAAATTCTCAGAATTTAAAATACAAATTCAAGTTGTTATCTTCCTAAACTCACCACATAAGTGTCTGGATCAAAGTCGGCAAACTTTTCTTTGGTGTAAATGTTGATATTCCCTAGAGCTATTTGATATGCCAGATCTTGTGGAATCAGTCTGTTATTTGTTAAAGAGAATGTTCCAGCTTTAAATTCACCTCTGCTCTCAGTTAGATTATTTTCAATATTAGGCTTCTAATTAACAAAATGATTTTAAGGATACGCTCCTGCATAGTGCATCTGTTTAGCATTCAGTCCCTCTTCGTAAGAATTTAAGGGACGCAACCTCCTCTGAATAGGATCATAGACCAACTGATAAAGGAATGTGTTATTGGCACGAATAAATCCCTCAATATATTCCTCTGGAACTGTCAGGGACATGTTCAGGTAAGTACTAGGAAACTTCTTCAACAGCTGTCAAAAAGGAAAAATTCAGTCAAGTGAATAAGGGTTACAGCTCAATGACTTTTCTGTGCTCTACAAGTTAAAAAGATATCAAAAACATGCAATGCATCATAACAAAATACAATTACAGAAATTTTGGTTGAGTCATAAGTCAGAGTTTAAATTTCAGTTTTTTACCAGTTTGAGATCCGATTGTCTTGCACGCTTAAAGACTTTTGCTGCCTTTCCCAGTCCAATTCCTGGTAAAGACGACAGGTAATCACAGCCAGAGAGGATACACATGTAACGGAATTTCTCAAAAGTGTAAAACCCAATCTGTATCTCCATCACTTCATTTAATCGACTCTGCTCTATGAGAACACCATTCCCAAAATGATCCATCTTAAACAGCACCTGTAATGTGTTGGAACTATATTTTACATTTAAACAAAATTATTTAACATGATTTGCTACTTACTTGATATAAACAGTAAAATATTCAAGACTTTCATATGGAAACCAGAGGAAAGTTACCCCTAGCCCTCCAGGAATTGTGTAAAGAAAAGATTTTTTTTTAGTTCTGTTGGTTTAAAGACTAGCACATTTTATGAAATGGTAGAGTACAATTGCATATGCATGTTTATATTTATGAAACAGTATATTCCACTAGCAGCTGTGTACCATTTCATCTTGACATACCTTTTCACAGCCAAATAGTAACAGATCAGAGTCTTCTGTGATGATCACCTGAGCAATACCACACTTATTGAGATAGGCCAGCTGGGCATCAGCTTCATAGGGAGCTACAATACAATCTACACCTCGGGCTCTACAGGCCTGCAATAGAAATACATGTAATAGAGAGCTATAACAGACTAAAGGTGTAAAAAATTAAGTACATGTAAAATGAAAACACTACATTGGTTCTAATCTTCAATAAGGGAAGCTTTGTATCCCTTGTGTGTTTTGTCATTTCTAGCTCAGAAGTGTAAAAAGTCAAAAATGTGAAGAAAAAAAACCCAATGCATAACATGACACACAATCACAGACAAAAATACAAAGGATTGTCACCCGATTCAACCTAAAAATACAAATGTAGAGAAAATCTTTTTTACCTCACTTTGATATTTCTACAAATGTCTATGGAAAACTCTATATAATAATATTTATGGACTTAACAGAAAAAGGCCTAAGAAAATCTATCAGATTCATGAGACTGAATGTATTTCACATAAATTTGAGTTACATCTAAACATACATGTACATATACTATGTCAATACTGAGTATAAATGTCTAGTACATTCATTAGTTGTAGTGCCATGTCTGGACTGATGTCAATACATCTCTGAAGACATTCTCTGGCCTCTGCCCTTTTACCCTCTCTCAGTAACTGGGCTGCCTTCTTTCTGTTGATGTCACGCTTTCTATAAAAGAAATTTCATATCTGTTATGTTTGCTCTTTAAGATTATAAGGCAACCACAACTTGATTTTTAGTTTTACGGATCCGCCGACTCTAAAAATTTGCATTTTGAAAAAAAAAAAAAATCTGGAATTTTTCAAGCCGCTCGTGTCAAAACCTGTGTTTTATAATAGAAAATCATTCAGATACATAAAAACGTGTGCAGAATGCTGGACATTGTTGGATTGGTTTCATTGTTTTCAAAAACCAAACTGCACTTTCAAACAGTTCAGGGATTTATCAGTACCTTTTCAGGGGCTGAAATTCGTCCCCATTCCCAATTGAAAATGAGTTCTGTTTTTTTCCAATTTGGCAGTCTTTTTCCCAATAGGTGAACAATGCTTTTAGAATTAATTATCTTGGAAAAACACAAAGTAAAATTGTCAGATTGTCTGTAATTTTCATCTATTTAACTCATTTAGCAAAGGTAAAGTCATAACACGTTTAAAAATACTGTTAAAACATCACCAACTTTTAATCCGAATTTCCTCTGTTTTTCTGAAAATGGTGATATTGTGTAATTATATATATTTATTAAGTTATTTCCACTTATTCAATTGATCTACGAATGTATGGTAAGGACTGTAGGCACTATTTCAGAGAGAAAAATATATTTTCAATGCATTAATTCATACATGTATTAAAAGAGGACTTTTAGAAAATGTGTACTTGGTATAATTTTTTGCAGGAGGTTTATAATCTCCAGAAACAGATTCAATAATGACCTAAATTGGAATCTCATACACACATGAACTACCCTAAGTTGTATAAATACTTTATACTTAGTTATTGAAGTCAATTTTACTTTTATTAGTTTATTATTCATAATTGATTTTGTATGATGAAGTTGGATCATATTTAATTGTCTGTTTGGTTGCCCAAATTAGAGTTCATGCTGAAATGTTAAATGAAATACACCTGAGTATATGATTTAAGCAACATTCAACTTTTTTCTCAATTCCCCAAAAATGGCATTTCCAAAAATAGGCTGATAAATCCCTGATTAACAATTCATCAAATGCAAAACAACAGACTGTGTTGGAAAATAGTGTCACCAAAAAAAAAAAAAAAAGGTTACATGACAGTTATATAAAATGCCGCAACTTCACAAAATTATGTATCAATAAATAATAAACTGTGAATTTTGCCTTTTTTTTCCCTTCGTCCTCCAACTTGACCTTTCTTGAAAAAAATACGTAAAACTAAAAATCAAATTATGGTCGCCTGAACAACTTCCCTCTCATTCCAACAAGAAATAAGAAGATATTGCATCTCTGCCACAAGAGTAAATGAAATCTTTATGAAGAATCATGCCTCTTCATTTATGTGCTTAATCTTCAAACAAGCTTAAAATTTCCATACCTAACTGCAGAAATTCTAATCCATCAAAACATATCTACTCACTCCCTACGAGTCTTTTCCACTTCCTGCTTGGAAGGAAGGTGACAACCATCAAACACGAGCACAGGCTTAATATTCTTCTTCAGAAGCATTTCCACATATTTCATGCAGTAATATACATATCTGACAATCAAAATAAATGCAGTAAAAATTGTCAATTAATTTATTGTTATACGTAACTAACCAAAAAAAATTGTTAATGAATGTAACATTGTATTGCAAAGTTTCAAAAAAAAAAAAACAACCAAGAAGTCTCTGATGAGACTGTATCTCCACTTGTTTGAACTTATAACAAAGGAAGAGAAAAGTAACACTTGGACTTGAAACTTTGCATCAGCAATAAACAAAAAAGTGATACTTGGTTTAGTCTCTTTTTGTGGCAAGATTTATTGCAACCAGACTAAAACTATAGGAGGTGTAGCCTTTTGAAAGAATTTTACAGAAATTTTAACTTTCATTAACCATGGTAACATCATTCATCAAAAACCAATAAATAGAATTATGTATCTCATTATAGTCTTCTTGCATGCCAAGTTCTATTGAAATGAGACCAGACTGTAGGAGGAGTAGTGTTTTGAAAGTATTTCACAGAAATTTCTATTTTTAGTAACCATGGCAACATCCTTCATCAAAATCAAAAACCAACATACAGAATTTTGTATCTTAGTGTAATCTACTTGTGTGCCAAGTTATTTTAAATCAGATCAAAATTGTAGGAGGAGTAGTAGAAAAATTGTTTACAGACACTCAGACAGACAGACGATGGACTCCTTACTATCGCATAAGCTCTTCTGGTATCTGACCAGTAGAGCTAAAAACAATACTACAAAACTGTTTACTTCTAACCCTCCTACAATGCATTTGAAATCTGTTTTGGATTCAATATATTGCAATATGAAGCCCATGCTGTATCTATGGCTCTATAAACTTAATAAGCTATGTTTGTTGGCTAATGACACTACAAACTTACTGGTCAGTAGGCTCCCCAAGAGCTAGTTTCTCTGCACAAGAGAAAGCCCCCTTATGAAGCCAGCAATATGCATCTATTGCCACAGTGCAGCCTTCAAACTTTGCAATGTTTACTGGAACATGGATCTTCTTCAGAAAGGGCAATAATCCTGTAACACCCATCTCTTACAATGGAAAAAACACCACCACTGTGGAAGAATGTAAAATCGTCATAAGATTATTAAAAATATATATTAAGTGAAATCAGAATTAAAAAAACATGGATTTGAAATTTTTGTGATTTGATTCAATGAAAACAATGTTTACAAATAATGTTATTACAGTTACATTCCATCAGCTATACCAGATATTTTAATTAAAACTGCAAAATCTAAAGAAAGATGAAAACTGTTGATGTATCTGTCAGTCACACTTTCTTGTCAAATGATTCAATTCCTAGATATATTTTAGGGGATGAAAAATGATTCTTTTTGCAAATGATTAAAAATTAAAAGTATGTTTGAGTTGTAAATGGGGAAGCCACACCCCTACTAGCACTAGCTAGTGGAATAACTCTTTACCCCAGTTGGTTGTATGTTGGATTTTTTCTTTTTTAATTTGAGGGATGTAGATTCAGACCAAACAATGGAAACTCTTAAGCTAATTGGTAATATTGACACTTAGCTATACAAAAACCAGAGGTGTTTAGAGTCTCCTTTTGAACTTCTTAATGAATGGGTCTGTGTTTGAATTTTGGTCTGGGGCATTTTTTTCACTTTTCTGTTACATTTGGTACCATACCAGTAGAAAAACCTGCCTGGGGATCGATCAGTCTGGGTAGTGACTTGGTGTCTTTCACTCTTTGGGGAGGGGGGATTTTAGTAGGAAGGATAGAGTTGGTAAAGTCACCAGACAGCTCAGTTGGTAGGTTTCCTATCTAGAGTTTAGGGGCTGTTGCGGAATGTATAGGAAAGGTATAAAAACACGTCTTGATCATATAGTGGTTTATAAAGAGACTTGTTATTATCTATAGAAATGTAAAGTAAAGCATTATGACACCACAATAGAGTTAATGTTATAATATAAAAGCATGGATAATCCATGACGGGCACTAAGTTCAAATCCTACTCTAGATCATCATTTTCACCCTTCATATTACAATATTTCTTTGTTTAGGTTAATTATTTAAGTCATAATTAAAAATACTGAAATGACTGATTTTAATCAAATGCTTGGAACTTCTTAAGGCTCAGAATGTATGGATATCGTTGTTGACAATTCGTAACATATACCTGCATTGTCCATAACTAAATTAGTGCAAATATAATATAGATCTAAAGTTTGAACATTTCCCAGAATACGTGTGGAAAATTTCTTACTATCTACCAAGTCTACTGCTTTCTTATGCTGTGTCTTTTATTTTCTTTATTTTACCTTATTCTGATTTTTGACAATGATCCCATGTAAGCTAGGTTCTTTTTTTGTCAAGATTCATGAAAATGGATCTCCTTCTCCAAAATGTAATTTCCCGCAATTTTTTGTCATAGTTTCGGATTTCTTTTTTTATCTTATTTTTAGCATCCTTAAAATTTTTTAGTGTGTAAAAACTCCTTTAAAGGCTAAATATATCAATGAATTCATTCTTAGACTTTCAACAGAAAATTCTTAGGATATAGATTTATACGAAACTTTCGTATCAACAAACATGGCGGCTCATTCACAATCCACATCATCGACAGGGAGCTACACTTTAAATTTTGACAATTATGATCAGCAAGGTTCGTCGTTCGAATCTCAAAACACATCAGGATATAATCCTTACGTACAAGCGGTTGAAGAATTTCAGTTCGTACAAACTTCAGCCTCGTTAGGTAGGCTAAAAATCACCATCGTTTTCCATAAGCCCAGGGCACTTGCTCCAATGCAGTTTTTAGCTCAAAAGACAAAGATTAAAATTTGTCCGTTGTCTGTCGTTGTTGTTGTCGTCAACTTTTCATATTTTCATTTTCTTCTCAAGAACTATCCAAACTTGGCAGAGTATCCTTGGGTGAAGGTGAATTAAGTTTGTTCAAATGAAGGGCCACGCCCTCTTTCAAGGGGAGATAAATAATCTTCTTTTCAAGAACCACTGACCAACAAATGATAAAATTTATGTGAAAGCTTCGTTACATAGTGTAGAATCTAGTTGTTCAAATCATGACCCCCAGAGGAAGGATGGGGCTACAATGGGTGATCAAAGTTTTACACAGGAATCTATAGGAAAGAATCTTTAGAAATAAAAATCTTCTCTTCAGCAAAGTCATGATTAGTCATATTGATATGGAAGTATCCTGGTAATGAAAACAGGTGATTTTTTAATAGGAAGTTGATAACTACATGTTTTATATCATTAGAAAGGTTCTTTTAAATGCAGCTTCATGGTGAAAAAATTATTTTAATATCTTGAGTGGTTAAAAAGTTATGGCATATAAAAGACACCTACCGCCAAACTTTATTGAAGTCAAAATTTTATAATTTATGAAACATAATATAGCCTAGAGAACAGGATAAAACTGAGGTTTGTGTCAAAGAATAAAACACATTCTCTTTAGTTTAAAAGCAAAGCAATAAACCTTTGAAATAATTTTATTCTTTTGAAACAGTTTTTTAAAGATTTTCTTTTGCCAATCTTCTATAGTAGTTTTTACAGGTGAACACAGCTTTATTTCCAATGTATGCAATGCTGTACTAAAAAAGGATACCTGTGGAAAGAGAGAGGGAGAGATACTGTTAGGATTTTTATAGTGTTGTTGTGAGCTAAAATCAGAAGTATTAATGAATAAAATATAAAATGCTTCTGAAGAGAAATCTATATTCAACAAGGGCACTATGCTATTAAGCATATACATGTACATGAATTCAGCAAGTTATATATGTAAATAATACTTCATTCTGTATTTCCAGGTTGTTAAGATATCATGTAAAAATATAAAAATTATAAGGTTTTTATGTTAGTCAAGGAATGAAGTTGTAAAGTGAATTTATATTCATCCAATGAATCTGACATTGAAAAAATAAAGAATAAACAAAATACTTTGCCTTTTATTCAATATCCCTCAGTTTCTGACAGTCCTGTGGTACATCACAGTGACATTCACTAAATAATTATAGTAACTGTGAGAAGGGCTGATTGTAATCTAACAGTTAAAATGGAATTTTCATAACTTTTTTTACCATTGACAATATGGTATATTTCACCATGTTCACTTTCTCTAGTTTCTGGCAAAGGATCTGTACACTTATAAAATTAGCGCAGAAAATATATTCTTTTTTTTAATTCCCCAAAAAAATGATTAAATTTTATGTGATTTTTTATAATCTGTGATCAAATTTAACCTTTTTTGATAATTAATTAATTAAAACTTCACTTTAAAATCATTTATTGGAAACAGGTAGAGTTTCCTCTGTTTCCCTGAACATTGAAGAGTGACTAAGGGGGATAACTTCTTCCAAAAAATTGTCGCTTCGTAAGAATCAGATGAAAAGCGCTCTTTTGCGCAGGCATAATATGATGAGTAACAAATGATATTCGATTCAAGAATGTCTATTCTATATAAATAATGTATGCCATTTTATTCGTATTGCATAATTAATTTATAATATGAAATTTTGTCTGAAGCCTATTTTTCATTAGTACTTACATTTGAAATTGCTGGGATCTTCAGTCACCGGATGAACTCTTTTATTCGAGAAGTTTCTTATCTTCAACCTGAGATGAGTTGTACGTACAATGCTTCTTTCTTTTAGGATGAAAATCGAAAAAATTTGTGTACCGCTAGGTGGCTTGATTCGTAATGGCAACCTTTATATTTTCATGTTTCCAGTGCAAGATAAGAAACTTGATGCCATACTTTCGACTCACATAACGAGTTGATATTTATTTTTTAGATAAATATGGTAAAATAATCCCTTCAGAATATGTATTTTATTCGGAATGTGTTATTTACACAACCAGCATACCAGTAAACATATCTTAAAGTAAAGCGGTTTAACATAGTGGCACATAGGCATACGATTTTTACGATTCGACTGTTATCGTTGATCCTGGTAGTGTAAATTCAAGTTTGTTCAAAATCTTGTACCCTGGGGGTGGGTTGGTGCCAAAATGGGCAATCTAAGTTTTACATATTATGAAAGATAAGTAGCCTACAGGTAGGTAAAAAAATTGCTGATGAAGAACAGGGCCATAGTGACTTAGGTGAGCGTTGTGGCCCATGGGCCTCTTGTTTGCAGAGGGTTAAAGTAAAAACTATTTCAATGTAGATTTTTATCAGACATCATTTTTTATCTCACCCTATTATGATATTCATATCTGATTTTTACACTTTGTTTAAAAAGAAATCTATACCAAGGCCACAAAAAAAAAATAATTAATCTCATTATGAAAATAAAATGGTCTACTCAAATGGACAAAGGGCAAACAATAATTAGGCTTAGCATATATGATCCATAAGAAATAGGGCAAACAGTGTCAAGGAACATGTTTTAAGGCAATTGAACAAGGATTTAATGATCAGAGAGGTTCAGTATCATGTATTCAGAGGAGGTTATATTTATTACACATTAAAAACGGCACACAATTCAAGGGTTATATCTCTGTTTTTAAGCTGCCATCCCAAATGTTACTAACAGTGAGTTCTGGGATTTTAAGGACTGGCAATCCTATACTGTTGATGAGATTGAACATTGATTTTTTTCCTTTTTACCACAGAAAAACTTCCTGTTGAGGGATCAATTCAGAAAAGTGAAGGAGAAACAATGACAAATCCTTATGGTGTGAAAAAAAGATCAGCTGCTTCAAAATTCCTGGAATCTAAAGGCTTTGGCTGGCTGACAGAAGAAGAGGAATTGGATGAAGAAGATCAAAAGCCTTTACTGTAAATCTCAATTGAACAATCAATATCTTATCATTAATTTAGTATATTGGTGTATTTGTACTTTATAATAGCAACATACCCTTGCTATTGCAATATACCCTGATTGTTGCAGCAGTTTTGTAATGCTTATTAAATATCAAGTTAATTGATAAAAAAAAAAAGATTTTTGTGTGAAAATCTTAACATTAATTATTTGATAGAACTCTCTCAATTTTTTTGTAGGGAGGAGTTAGACATTGATCCTAAGGACATTTACTATAAATTACGATGTGTTCTGTTTCCTCTGCCACAGCTTGGATTTAATCGCCATGTTGTCAGAGAAAGTCCAGATTTCTGGGGCCCCCTTGTTGTCATACTGCTGTACTCTCTCGTTTCCTTGTATGGACAGTTCAGGGTATATGCGTGTAGTCATTATTTGTTGTGTTTATACTGCATTGATTTTACATCCCAAACCATGAATGAAACATTACCTGACATTTATTTAAATTTAGGTGGTGTCCTGGATTATAACAATATGGATATGTGGGTCACTCATCATTTTCTTATTGGCAAGAGTTTTAGGAGGAGAGGTTAGTAGTACCAAAAAAAATGTTTCCATCTCAGTCTCATTTGTTTTGAAGGAGGGAAAAATGCCTCTATGAAAAAGGTGTGTATTTAAAATATAAAATTACAAAAATTAAGTGCAGAACATAATGTAAATTAGTTTGTTTCAGGTTAGCTATTCCCAGTGCCTGGGTGTCATTGGTTACTCTGTGCTACCTTTGGTTATAACAGCAGCCATATTACCACTGTTCAGAAGATTTCACTACATCAGTCTGTTACTCAAGGTATCTCAATCTGTACTTCTTCTTCTGATATGAATTCATATCACTGTTATGTCCATATTGTAAATTTTAACCCTATACAGTTGCACACCCAGCTTTCAACAATTTTAATAGAAATATAGGTTCTATAACTTGCCCTGTTAGTTACCAGTTTTTCTCCAATTCTTATTCCTCAATCTTTTTAATTGTCAATTGAAGCAAGGCTTGCTAGGTGTCTATTGAACTTTTTGACCAAGTCTGGCTTAGACTTAACTGATAGAGTTCCTATGTAGAGGATGTGCAGTGACCTTACACCAACTTAATGGTCAAGGTGGAAAAAAATCTTTGTATGTAAAATTTTTGTCTGGAGCATATTTTCTCTCCCCTTGACCAAGTCTGGCTTATAATAAACCATAGTGACTTTGAACCAGTTTTCTAGATAAGAGTTCAAAGTCAAAAACCTCTATGAGTAAAATTTTTTCTGAAGCAGATTTTCTCTAGAGTGCCTGTGGAAAGAAGGTGTAGAGTGACCTTAACATCAATAAGATTTCTATGTCAGTGGTCAAATTCATTTCAAATAATCTGTGAAAATGCTTGTCTGCAGATATTTTCACTCCCCTTAGCCCTGCTTGGCACAAAATTCACTCAGAGACTGGAAAATGGATAGAGGGTGTGCAGTGACCTGAACTGCAAAAGTTCAACATTGCGCCAAATAAGTACTTTGAAAAATACTTTTTTGTCCATATTAAAAGTTGTATTCCACAAAACTTCGAAAGTGCAACTAGAATTGTGTGGTTAATATGGATTGATGAAAAGTCTTCAGTCATATGAGTAGGATTCTAGCAGCACTTTTCATGGTCCAGAGATGTTTTCACATGATTATTTTTTCAAACAGAAGTGAATTATCCCCGGGGTAGTGTGGAACTTTCTACATTTTCATTTAGGCATATTTTCCTATTTATAGACATCACATGATGACGTCGTAGTGGAGTGCTTCTTTTAGCTTAAGAATTTTAAAGCTTTATCCTTATATATAGGATACTAAGAGGCTTAAAATAGAAGAGAAAGATAGTACAATTTCTCAGAAGAGCGATTCTAGGCCCTTGGGCCTCTTGTATAGTTTGGCATTTAAGGAAAGGGAACCTTTTTTTTTTACAAATATATGTACATGAACTAATCATATCTCTAACTTGTGGTTCAAAATTCTCTTTAAAAAATATACTTGTGGTAGTGTAAGATACATGGCATCCTACTAGCTTGGGCTAGTGGGTTAACCCTTTAGAGCACTGGACTGGCATGCCAGAAGTCCAGGGATCAGATCTATTTGGAGGCACAAACATGTCTCTGTTACATACTTATAAAACAAGATGCTCACAATACACATATTACAAAACATAGAACCATGGTGAAATTAAGTTCATAAGGTAAATGCACTGACTGTAGTCTTTGCTTGTTCATTTCCACTTTTTAGTCCCTAGAGGTAAAACCGGAGGGACTATAGGTTTCCTCCTAGTCTGTCCATCTGTTGTCTGTCTGTCCCTCTGTCCCAATTGGTTTTCTGTACTTTTTTTAACTAAATGCCTGCAGATATTTAGCTGATTTTTTGGTATGTTAGTGTACCTTAAAGAGTTTAGATCAAGTTAACATTTTGTTCCAATTCAATGGTTTTTTTATGGAATTAGGGCCTTTTTAATTTTAAGGGAAACCAGATTACACTTGCTGATAGGAAACTTCGCTTATGCAATACAGTTAAACCTCATTATCTTGCAATCTCGGGACCAAGAAAAAACATTGAGATATCCGAGGATTCGAGATATCCAGGGTAAAATAATTAAAGAATGAGGGGTTGGAACTTCCAAATCACTTCGAGATGTCTATGGTATTTGAGATATCAGTGTTTGAGAGACCGAAGTTCAACTGTACTCTCAGAATGCTTGTTCATTATATTTCTTTAAATATGATGTTTAATGTAGACATGAATAATACATGTCCTGTAGAATTATAATTGCGTATAACTGCGAGAAGCACCACTCGCGAAATAAAATTACTTGCTTTTATTTTTTTGGTGCTGAAATCCATTTAAAATCTCTTGATCAACCATCCATTCGCGAATTATTATTCTCGCTATTTGACGATAAAGAGCCTTTTCGCGATAATAAGTACTCACGAAAAATAAGGAATCTACTGTACAGTATATGTTCACACAATTTCTCATGAAATATTGTGTTTAGGTATTGTATTAAATCTATTTAAACTTTTGATTTTTAGCACATGTAAATTTCATTTCAGTTTTTTGGAGTGCTGTGGGCAGCATACAGTGCTGGATCGTTGTTATGTGTTCAGGAGCTCCAACAGAAGCGCCCTCTATTGCTGTATCCAGTTTTTCTTCTTTACATTTACTTCCTGTCCCTGTACACAGGTGCCTGATTCAAATCATGGGAAATTCATTTGTGTCATATAAAAAACAGACAGTGATGCTCGCAATGATGAAAAACACATTATATTATAAATTTGTTATGTATATAATGCTTTTATCTATATGAGTATGTGCAAGTGGTGGATCATATTAGCTTGGGTTATTGTAGATATTCCAGTTACAACCGTGTATAAATCTGACAATCTGTGAACTTCAATTTTTATGGCAATTTCACTTTGATACATGTAAATAATGTACATTGAATTTTTAATATATTTGTGACAAAGGAACCTACTGTCTACATTTCTTTTTTAATTTTCCACTTGAAGGTACAGAACTTTATATTCTTCACTGTTGTGAAAAGATCTTAAAGTAAGATAGATAAGAACATACATTAGTTAGTGAAATCAAAACTGGCTATAATAACTATTGATTTGTAATGTCTGTTTTAAAAAATAGTGTGTAATTTTAGCTCTACTGATCAGAGACCATAAGAGCATATGTGATAGTAAGATGCCTGTCGTCCATCCTTATATGATTGTCTGAAAACAACTTTTCAAAATGCTACTCCTACAGTTTTAGTCTGATTTCAGTATAAGTTGGCACGTAAAGTAGACTATGCTAAGGTACATAATTCAATGCATCGGTTTTTAGCTCACCTGAGCCGAAGGCTCAAGTGAGCTTTTCTGATCACATTTTCTCTGTAGTCCGTCTGTCTGTAAACTTTTCACATTTTCGACTTCTTCTCAAGAACCACTGGGCCAATTTCAACCAAACTTGCCACAAAGTATCCTTGGGTGAAGGGGATTCAAGTTTCTTCAAATGAAGGGCCACACCCTCTTTCAAGGGGAGATAATAAAGAATTAGTGAAAAATTAAATGGAATTTTTAAAAATCTTGTTCTCAAGAACCACAAATCCAGGGAAGATGAAACTCATGTGGAAGCATCCTCAGGTAGTGTAGATTTAAGTTTGTTCAAATCATGACCCCCCGGGTTGGGCGGGGCCACAGTGGAGGATCAAAGTTTTACATAGAAATATACTGGAAAAAACCTTTAAAAATCTTCTCAAGAACAGCAAAGCCATGATGAGTCATATTTATATGGAAGCATCCTCAGGTAGTGTAGATTCAAATTTGTTCAAATCATGACCCCCGGGGGTAGGGCGGGGCCACAATGGAGGATCAAAGTTTTACATAGAAATATATAGGAAAAATCTTTAAAAATCTTCTTCTCAATAACAGCAAAGCCCTAATTGGTCATATTGACCAGTATATGGAAGCATCCTCAGGTAGTGTAGATTCAAGTTTGTCCAAATCATGACCCCAGGGGTAGGGCGGGGCCACAGTGGAGGATCAAAGTTTTACATAGAAATATATGGGAAAAACCTTAAAAATCTTCTTCTCAAGAACAGCAAAGCCGTGATGAGTCATATTTATATGGAAGCATCCTCAGGTAGTGTAGATTCAAATTTATTCAAATCATGACCCATTGGGGATAGGGCAGGGCCACAATGGAGGATCAAAGTTTTACATAGAAATATATAGAAAAAATCTTTAAAAATCTTCTTCTCAGGAACAGCAAAGCCCTGATTGATCATATTTATGTGGAAGTATCCTCAGGTAGTGTAGATTCAAGTTTGTACAACTGTTGACCCCCTGGGGTAGGGTGGGGCCACGATGGAGGATCAAAGTCTGAAATAGAAATATATAGGAAGATTTCTTCTGATGTAGAACTGCAAAGCCATGATTAGTCATTTTGATTTGGAAGCATCCTCAGGTAGTGAAAATTCAATTTTGTTCAAATGATGACCCCTGGGGGTAGGGTGGGGCCCAATAGGGGGATCGAAAGTTTTACATAAGAACATATAGAAAAAATATTTCTTCTCAAGAACAGAAAAGCTATGTTTAGTCATATTGATATAGAAGCATCCTCAGGTAGTGTAGATTCAAGTTCGTTCAAATGATGACCCCCGAGGGTAGGGCGGGACCACAATGGAGGATCGAAAGTTTTACATGAGAACATATAGAAAAAATATTTCTTCTCGAGAACAGAAAAGCTATGTTTAGTCATATTGATATAGAAGCATCCTCAGGTAGTGTAGATTCAAGTTCGTTCAAATGATGACCCCCGAGGGTAGGGCGGGACCACAATGGAGGATCGAAAGTTTTACATGAGAACATATAGAAAAAATATTTCTTCTCGAGAACAGAAAAGCTTTGTTTAGTCATATTGATATGGAAGCATCCTCAGGTAGGTAGATTCAAGTTTGTTCAAATGATGACCCCAGGGATAGGGAGGAGATACAATGGGGGATCAAATTTTTACAAAGGAATATATGGGAATTTTTTTTTAAAATCTTCTCAAGTACAACAAAGCCATTTGTTATTTTGACATGGAAGCATTATCAGGTACCTGGTAGTTTAAGATTCAAGCCCCCCCCCCCCCCCCCCCAGTAATCTTTTCAATACTGAACTGATTTGTGCTTTTTCCTAGCCAGTGTGCTCAGGTGAGCGATGTGGCCCATGGGCCTCTTGTTGATTTCAATGAACAATTGCCATGGTTACTAAAAACAGAAATTTCTGTGAAATATTTTCAAAACGCTACTCCTCCTATAGTTTTAGTCTGATTTCAGTATAACTTGACAGACAAGTAGACAACACTTAGATATATTATTCAGTGCATTGGTTTTTTATTTCAATGGATGGTGTAATGATCACTAAAAATAGAAATTTCGGTGAAATATTTTCAAAACACAACTCCTCCTACAGTTTTAGTCTTATTTCAATTTAACTTGGCATACAAGTAGACTATAATAAGATAAAATTTAGTGCACTGGTTTTTGATTTCAATGAACAGTTGCCATGGTTACTAAACTAGAAATTTCTGTGGAATATTTTCAAAATGCTACTCCTCCTACAGTTTTAGTCTGATTTCAGTATAATTTGGCACACAAGAAGACAACACTAAGATACCTACTTCAGTGCATCCGTTTCTGATTTAAATGAACAGTGTTTCCATGGTAGTTAAAAATAGAAATTTCTGGAATTTTACCTTAAATGCTACTATTCTTACAGTTTTGGTCTGAATTTAGTATAACTTACCACATAAGTAAACTACACAAGGATGCATAATTAAGTGCATCTTTTTTTTTAATTTTGATGAATGGTGTTGCCATGATTACTAAAAATAGAAATGTCTGTGAAATATCTTCAAAACACTACTCCTCCTACATTTTTAGTCTGATTGCAGTATAACTTGGCACACAAGTAGACTACATTAAGATACATAATTCTTTGGACAGGTTTTTGACTTCAATGAACATTGTTGCCATGGTTACTAAAAATAGAAATTTCTGTGAAATATTTACATCAAAATGCTACTCCTCCTACAGTTTTGGTCTGATTTCAATATAACTTGGCACACAAGTAGACTACAGTAAGATATATAATTCATTGCATCATTTTTGATTTTATTGAACAGTGTTGCCATGTTACTAAAAATAGAGATTTTGGTGAAATTCTTTCAATGGCTACTTCTCCAACAGTTTTAGTTTGATTGCAATAATCTTGCCTCAAAGAGACTAAACAAGGACCTTTATTCTATTTACTGCTGTTGCATAGTTTCAAGTGCAAGTTCTTTTGTTATAAGTACAAACCAGTAGAGCTACAGTCTCATCAGAGACTTCTAGTTTATTACATATTGGTATACATACAATGTGTACCAGGCATGTACGTTACAGGTGATAAAAAAATCAAGTCTTAACTGGTACTAGAACCCAGGGCTTCTGGGTACCCTTCTAGCACTAAGCACTAAGCTATTTAGACTCGATATGTTGACCGACTTGCACACACCTGTGAACCCAGTGACGCTACAAATATTTCAATACTTTGCATAAGATGAAGTAAAAGGTGATAAAAAGAGTTGACTGGCCTTTTAGTCAAAATATATGGCCATATTTCCTCTGCTTCAAAGATCTTGCATGCAATTTTATAACTTCAATCAATATTTGGATAACCATGGATGACATCTACTGAATGCAAGGAATGCAACACCACTCACCAAATGGATTTTCTGTAAGATACACTTGTAGGTAGTTAATTTAAACATTTTAGGGCTTAATTACATATTCTTTGAAAGCAAAGGTCAAATAAGGTCTTGGTAAAAATAATTTACATAAAGAATTGATCATATGTAACATCTGAACAGCAGTAGCATCTAAAGTAAAGAAAGTGGTGTCATCCTAGATGCATGGTCCATGCAAATGGTCAATGGAGGTCCAAAAGCTATAACTATTGAAAATTGAACATCATTGACAACTTTTACATGGACACTCATTGAAAACAGACATAAATGACTGCATAACTGGCAAATGTAGGACCTGACAAAAATATTGAACCCTGAGATGGTTATGTCACAATGCCAACAATGGGGTGTAGCATAAATTATCCCTAGCTCCATCAATAAGAGCTTTATACCACTTAAGAAAGCAACACATTACCTACAATATTTATACATGGTGTGACCTTCCATACATCAAAATTATCGACAGTATACTTAACAGTTTACACTCTAAACCTACAAGTAAGCATGTCAATTTTATCGGACACCTTAGTCAAATAGTCCAATGCTTTATTTGAATGATTATCGAGTACTCATTAAAATATTTCTTGTGTATCAAGGTAAAATTTGTCATTTTCATACTATTACAATATTTATTCCACGCTACCATCACACACTTAGTATTATCAAATCAACATTTGAGTAGAAAATATTTAAACTGAATACATGTATATTTCATTTCAAATTCATCGTTTTACTGCATATGTTATTTAAATAAGCTTTTTAAATACTTTCACCTGTCCTCTCTAATTACACCTAATTGATCCATCGCCTGTGTCCAGTTCCAGCTAAGACATTATCCAATTGGTAAAAATTGTTAAATGTTTTTCAAATCAAAACATACAAAGCTTGTGATAATTAATTGTTAATTAAGAAATGTTGTATAAATAACCAATACATTCAAAAAATGAATTGATACGAAACATGAAAAACCACGTGAAAAAAAGTAAATTGCATGTATAAATGTTTCCCAAATTATATGTACCAGTACATGTATGCACATTATTATGCATGATCTTATTCTATTGCGAGTCTGAGTTTTTAACTTTGAAGCTAGAATCCAAATATTTTTTTAAGTCATCCCCATTTTCAGCACTAAGAAGTATAAAATCTAAACTATTACAATCAGGTTTGTGATAGCATCATATTTTTTTTTTTGAACTACACTTTGGCATTTTTGCAGCAGGGAACTTTCAGGAAAAGTTTCAATTAAAGACTTCAGTAAATTTGATGGATGTCAGCCTTTAATCCTTTAAAAAAATATAATAAAAATACAATTCATATTAATAGACACAAAACACCAATTCAGATTCAGGTATTTTTCATTTTTCAGTCTTTTCATCGTAAATCCTTTTAAAATAGACCCAGACTACAGATTTTGAAAGTATGTTTAACGGTCAAAGATAAACGTGCAAATACTTTAAGAAGGGTTTTAAGCCTCTCACTTAAACGAGTTTACTCACAAAAACACTGCATTTAGAAATAAATAAGGTGAATTCAATTTTATTACCTCAAATTTAAAATTACTATAAAGTAAGTCATTTTTAATGAGTAACTGAGTAAAAAATATTCAGTCGTCAGTCAGTATGACCGAACGATAGTTGAGTACTCAAATACTCGTTGACATCCCTATATTCAAGTATCACCTATCAGATTCCAATAAGGTGTGGCATTCAGATGGGTTCGATCGCCGGTGGCCAGATAGCTCAGTTGATAGAGCACCGGACTGAAGATTCAGGGGGCCTGGGTTCGAATCCCAGTCTGGTCTGTTGCATTTTTCTCCTCTTCTGTTACATTTGGTTCCGTGCCATGCCCTGGATGTGACAGGTGAAAGACCTGCCAGGGAAGAGCCATTGGTTGGTGTCTTTTTGGGGGGCTGAAGACCTTTAAGAAGGGAGGAATGTGGCGGTCAGATGGGTTCAGTCACCGGTGGCCAGATAGCTCAGTTGGCAGAGCACCGGACTGGAGATTCAGGGGGACAGGGTTCGAATTCTGGTCCGGTCCATCGCATTTTTCTCCTCTCCCATTACAAATGAAAATCACATGGACCATACATGCACTCATAGTTTTGAAATTAACACCATATGTTAGAAACCAAAATAAAATAATTCCTAGCAAATGGTAGAGTATATGGTAGAATGGTCAGTGATACTCTAATTATTCCTTAGTTTTTTAGGCAGATAAAAGTTTTAAGATATATTTATGGATGATTATGCAGTGCAATTTACCAAGTCCAATATTCATGATATTAAAATATGTTTAGACATAATTTGTGACTGACTGTCAAAGTTTGAAAAGGTATAATAAAGTGTTCAATTTTGTTTAATGCTTAGTAAAATACATGTACATTGTATAAAGACAGTCAGAGGGGTGTTTGACCTAAAAATATTATGCATCTTTGAGATTTTTTTTAATTCGTCTTTTGGAGTACATCAACTTTCTTCTGAATCATCTTTGTCATTGGTTGGAAAAACTTGCTTGAGTTTTCTTGTGTGCAGCTTAGCTGCTATACACTTGAAATTCCTAGAGTACCCTAGCACATCAATTTGTTGCCATTTGAGTGTACCAAAATCCAAACGACAAACAATATTCTGGCGATAAAACTGTGTAGAATCTGATAGTACATACTCTGCTGTACCACAAGCATATAAAGCACCACTAATCAATTCTAATCCAACATTAAACATGCCAGCAGGTAAGTCTGGTCCAGATCTCCACTGGTTCTGAGAAACATTCAGTATTTCTACTGATTTCAGTGCTTCCCTACTAATGGAATGTGTCACATGTGAGTAAATTTGACCACCTGCTACATAAATTTCTTCATCCACAACACAGGCCCCAAAATTAAATCGTGGTGTGGGTATTCCAGCCCTTGTGATCCAGTGCCCTTTCTCTGGGTGGTACATGACCACTAAGTTATGGGCACCTACTCCTGTTCTTCCCCCTAGGAGGAAGATGTACTCATTGTAAGTAACAGAAGCTAGATCCACCACTGTGGTTGGCAGCATGCCCTGGTAGCTCCATTTGTTGTGCTGTATGTCATACACCTCTATAATTTCAGTGGGATGTTGGTTCTCGGTCACTCCACCAAAGCAGTAGATTTTTCCAGATAGTTCAGCAAGGGTAAAGTTGGATTTTGGAAACAGCATTGGTGAAAGTTTAATCCACCTGTTGTGATCATTATCAAAACAGAAAAAATCCTTGCTAACAATTCTCTCTTCTAGATCATCACATGAGTCATCAGAGTCTATAAATTCAAAGTCCAGGTCGTGGTAGATGTAGTTCCCCCCACCAATATAGATGGCATTCTCTTTACTCACAATGCAACCAACATTTTCAACTTCATATTCCTTGTCTTGGCGATCTACTGGGAAATCTTGCATAAGGAATGTCTCTTTTGTGAGAGGATTGTAACAGTTTGTTTTTGGCCTTGTGAGTTTGGGATCTGATCCTCCTATCAAGACAAGACAGTGGTCAGGACGAATCATTCCTGCACGCATTGTCATGTCAAAATTGTATCGTCCTAAATAACGGTTAGGGTACTTCTCAAATATTCTCCAACTTTCCACAATGCTTTGGCATTCAGGACAGCTGTTTATAAAGGCATTTTGGTAAACTTGATCACAGAGAAAATCTGAGGATAGTAATGACAATCTCACAAGGGGAAATAATTCAGCAATGTCCGTATGTCTCTCTGGATCTGCTGTTACCCAACTAATTATTGCATTAAAGATAACTTCCTCAGAATCCACATTTAAGTCATTGCTCTGAATAATGCTCTTAACCTTGTCTAAGGGCAGATTAAGAAACTCTTCTGACTTGCAGACCTCAGAGAATGTTTTCTCCAAGTGCTCTTTGGCTTTGATTGCCAATCCTTTACAGTCATGAGTTTGAGCAAAATGATAAATTCCAATGCAGTTTGAATCATCAAGCTGAGATTCCAAGAATTTTGCACATGCTTTTACCACTGGCAAAATCTGAAATAACGATGAGGTAGACAAAAGGCTCTGGACTGCATCCTGTGTAATTTTCAGATGCCCGGTGTAAGCGTACTCAACTAGATCTCGGACAGTCTCATACTCCACCTCATTGAGTTCAACTACGTCCTTCATGGTTTCATCGAGTCCCATCGTAAACATTGCTTTAAAATACACACTTGTAGCAGCCAGGACATTCCTATGACAAAGTATTGCCTGGCCTTCAACTTTTAATGTGATGTCTGTCAACATCTGTTCTTTATACAATGAGTTCATTTCCCTGAGGAAAGAGGAACTGTGTGAATCATTCTGGTATACAACACTCTCCAGTCCCTGCTGCTGGAAGATGTTGTCTTCTGTCCCATCATCTTGAATGGAGAGGAAGTCCAGAGATTCTTCCATTACAGAGCTATCATCTGAAATAAAGATTTTAAGAGGATCAAGAGTAAGGGTACTATAAATGATTTTTATTTTTGCAAAAACATTTTTACTACAAATGAATTTGATATATCTAAAGTGTAGAGTCAAACTATACTCAAGTAAATGCACCAGTTATAGAAATATAGGATCTTTCATCATCTTTTATACTATAAAATACAATAAACCCCCTGTCACACAAGGACTGCATTCTCAGGGAGTTGGCACCGAAGTAAATTTCTGGGTTCACTGGGAATTCAGAAAAATAGTGCAATTTTATTTCAGATTTTCAAAAGATGAAGATGTCACAGCATCCTGGCGGTGACTGACTCAGAGGCATTTCTGTGGAGCTCCTACAGAGTTATGACAATTGACTGCACTCCCCCTAAGTGCTCATGGCGTGCTAGGAATTGTCACTTAATGTTCACAGTGTGGACAATGTGCTGATGGCATTCACAAGATGTTCTTAATCCATCTGCATATAAATACAAAGGACTCTTGAGAAATCTTAGTGCAATTTCTGTTGACTACCATTGCAATCGTGCATCACTTGAGCGCACCAACAGAGCTCTTGTGGTGCTGTTGGAGACTGTATTACACTGTTATGGTGACCTACAGTATTCGGCACTGTAAGAGATTTCACTGCATACATCTCAACGTTTCTGTTTTTTTTTTCAGTGAGATCAGCGTGAGGATGCAGCCATGGTGTGACAGGGGTCTATGGAAGACATAATGAATAAATGTACATTTTCATTTAAGTCAAAGAGTGCCTTATTCTCTCTTGAGAAATCAATGAATAAGTACTGTTTCATCAGCTTCTCCTCGCAATCGTTAATATTTTCATTATGATGAAGATTGAGCTTATTCATCGACTTCTCAAAGGAGAATGGGGAGTGATTATGCAATGTATAGCTGTACAATAATTATTTAAATACAAGTAATAAAGATGAAAAACTTAATGTGGCATCACGCATTATATAATTGTATTTAGCTATTTACAAACTTACAATCTTTCCTAATTTATTCCAGTTCTTTAACTTCCAAATTCTGAACATATGCAATCGTGACGACGAAGTAAACAGACCGTTCACATGTACCGGAAGTGCAGTTTTTTGTGTCCCTTGACAAATTCAGAGTGAAAGTAGGACTGAGATCGCGTCGTTGCAACCGGCATTTTATAGGGAAAAAACGAACCAAGGTAAGAAAAAAAAAACAGCAGTCTTTTTTCTTTGTTCGTTGGTATCCCATGGGAGGTAAGTTGTCACTCTAGCAGTGTATCTTCACATTAATTTAAATTATACAGTTCAGCAGTTGGATACCTGTACATAGATACCTTACATGTGGCAAGATCACAGCGCAGACCAAAAACAGTGTACATACTGATGTCTCACATATAATAAAAATCTATAACCACGGCAAATGTACTTAGAAAATTTATTTTTTGTTTATTTGTAGTTAGTATTTATTTTAGGGGACGACATTTGATTCTGGGAAGGGGGGGGGGTTTGATGTTCTCCACATCGCCAAACAGATTCGGTTTAAACTTTTCAGGCACATTAACTATGTTGAACTTAATTCACGTAAACATAAAAATATTCAAAAATATTATGAATGGTGGCATTTATGAACCAAATTGAGCAGTTCGATGAATCTGTATCCATTTTTTGTTTCTACATTTATAAATTATTTGCTACACCGATTGTTTGTATTCTAGTTGTGTTCTACTGTATTATTATGCTTATTAATATGTTCTGTATGGGCCTTTACCAATTACTGTAATTGTGTTTGTGCCAATAAAATATTTGTATTTGTAAATTAATACAAGATTTTAAAATTTTTGGACAGATGTCATTATTAAGTCACCTGAGTTTACTCAGGTGACCTATTGTTATCTGTTTTGTTCGTTCGTCGACGTGCGTCGTCTGTCGTGCGTTAACATTTGAACATTTTCAGCTTCTTCTCTGAAACCGCTCAACCAATTTCAACCAATTTTGACATAAGGCATCTATGGGTGAAGGGGAACAAAATTGTGAAATTCATAGCCCCTGCCCCCCTGGGGCCTGAGAGGTGGAGCAAAAACCACTAAAATTAATGCAATCTTTAAAAATCTTCTTCTTTATCTTGGACATCAACCAGTCAAACTCTTGGCATCATTGTAATAAGCATTGAGTCCTCTACCAAAATTGTGAAATTCATGGCCCCAGGGTCAGGGGTTCTGGTGCTAGAGCGGGGCTCTGTTGAATATATAGTGAAAATGCATTATTTCTTTAAATATCTTCTTTTTTGATCCAGGGTATTTAGCAAACAAACTGAATACATAGTTATGATGAGTAAGGGTGCCTCTTCCAAAAGTGTGAATTTCATGGCCCATGGGTTGGGGTTTTGGTGTTAGCGCGGGGCTCTAATAATTACTTTGTAAAAAATGCAATAAATCTTTGAAAATCTTCTCCTTTTCTCCTGGGTATTAAGCCGATGAACTAAGAGTATAGTTATGATGAGTAAGGGTGCCTCTTCCAAAATTGTGAATTTTATATCCCCTGGATCAAGGTTCTGGTGTTAGGGCAGGACTCAGGGCAATGTTGATACATGATACTCAGGTGACCTATAAGGCCCGTGGGCCTCTTGTATTGGTTAGAAATTTCAGAGCATGAATGGAGAAAAGATAATGAAATATTTGAAGTCCACATTGTATACCATGCTATGTTAGAGGAATCAGTGGCTATATGTATCTGAGTTAAAATAATGGAATACTTTGTCAGTCTGCTTAAAACCAGATGTTGCAAGTATCATATAGCAAAATGATTGTAAAGTTAAAAACTGGAAAAAAATAAAGTATTATATGGTAAAGATCATTGCTCATTTCAGGAAGAAGAATGACAGATGTGTCTTTGTATGTTTTGCCTTCGGAGACAAAGATAGCTCTTTTGGACTGTCAGACAGCATTCAATGGCTTAACCAGTCAGGAGAAATTGTATGCACATTACATCTCACAGGCCTCCTGGTATGGGGGTCTAATCTGCTTTATTCAGGTATTTATATTCTTATCATACATAGACAAATATTAGAATGTCATTAGTGAAATTTCATTTGGACAAATGAATACATAAAATGTCTTGAAGTGTTAGTAACCTGAGCCAAAGTTCAAGTGACTATTCTGATTGAAGATTGTCCTTCATCCATCTATCCCCCATTTGTCTAGTTGTTTATCCATCAAAATGCTATTTACCTTCATTTTTAGTCAAACATACAGGATTGTCCTTAAGACCTGGGGGCCAGGGAATTTCCCTGCCTATAATGATGTAATCCCCGGATTATTTTGGTATTCCTCCTATTAAAACTCCCCATTAAGGGAGAAACCCAAGACCCCTTCTACCGGTACTTTTTAAATGTCCTCTTCTATTTCAATTCTTAGGGACAACCTTGGACATAGATAAAATTATGGATGATGAATGCACTGATACTGATAATAGAATAGATTTCAGCTACATTCTTTGAGTTTTTTGTGCATTCGTTTAAGGAATAAAATATCATTTTTAGAGTTTCATTGGGATATGACATGAATTTGGTCACGTGATCAAATCCTTTAATGTTGGAAGGGCGTTATAGTAGAATTGATCACGTACCAACTTCATGTCATATCCCGGTGAAACTCTAAAAAATGATATTTTATTTCTTATATTTATATTTTATTTTTATTTGTTACACAGAAAAATATTCACTATTTAGACTTTGTTATGGAAATGCACATAATGTACTTGTGCGATGTCATGTGACGTTACAGTCTAGACCTTCCAAAGTCTCGTGTGGTTTGCTTTTCATATGCACGAAAGTTTGATCACGTGACCAACTTTATGTCATTGAAAATTAAATGTCAATTTATTTTGTATTGTTGTATAAGGAAAGACATTGGCAAATGTAAATATTTTCAGTTTCATTGAAGGATTTTGGTACTACTGATACTTATGGAAGAATCTATTTTATTCCATATTGCTGAAGGTAGCAATGTCTTGAAAATCATAATGTTTCTCCTTCTATAGTTTAATCAAATTTAAATAGATGAAGGTTCTTCTTCATGCATGATTCTGTGTATTAGGTTTGAAAAATCCTATTTCAGAAATTACACGTATCTAAAGCATTCCGTTTCTCTCTTTTGAAATAATATATGTTTAACTTGTCACATCTTGACTAGAAGCTTGAAAGAGATGTTTGTGCACCAATTTTCTTCAGATTGAGAATATGTCTGTCTAAACCAGACTTTTTTTAACCAGTAGACCTACAGTCTCATCAGAGACTTCTGGCTCTTTTTATCAAAAGTTTCTTCATAAATAATTTTATTCTAAAAATGTCATCTTTAAAATGTTGCCTGTTTTTAGACCTCTCCTGAGTCCCCAGGAATATTTCTACTCTTTCACAAACTCTTCAGAGGTCAGAGTTTAGAGGAACTTCAGTCATCAGCAGAGGCAAACGGGATCACCAAAGAGGAGTTCCAGGTAAGTTATTCAGCAGCAGAGGCAGGGATCACCAAAGAGGAGTTCCAGGTAAGTTATTCGGCAGCAGAGGCAGGGATCACCAAAGAGGAGTTCCAGGTAACTTATTCAGCAGCAGAGGCAGGGATCACCAAAGAGGAGTTCCAGGTAAGTTATTCGGCAGCAGAGGCAGGGATCACCAAAGAGGAGTTCCAGGTAACTTATTCAGCAGCAGAGGCAAAAGTGATCACCTTGAGGAGTACCAGGTAATTTATTCAGCAGCAGAGGCAGAAGGGATGACCTTAGAGGAGTTCCAGGTAAGTTATTCAGCAGCATAGTCAAAAGGAATCACCAAAAAAGGAGGTCCAGGTAAGTTATTCAGCAGCAGAAGCAGAGATCACCATAGAAGAGTTCCAGGTAAGTTATTCAGCAGCATAGTCAAAAAGAATCACCAAAAATAAGGAGATCCAGGTAAGTTATTCAGCAGCAGAGGCACAAGGGATTACCAATGAGGAGTTCCAGGTAAGTTTCTCAAAGCAGCAAAGCACTATTTAATATTGAAGAGGGATGTTATCCACATGCCTTTTTTTGAGACCTATGGCAAAGAGTCATATACATATTATTTTTCCTGTTTTGCTCTGTTTTAATGTAATTTGACAGGTTTCTTATATATGTAGCATTTGTATTATTGTGTATGCTGTTTTGAAGAAAAATCTTGATGACAAATCTACTTTTTCAGGCATTTCTAACTTATGCAGCTGGGTTTTTGTCCAATGCAGGGAACTACAAAGCATTTGGGGATAGCAAAATTATCCCAAACCTTCCAAAAGTAAGTAAATTGTTCTAAAAATTCATCAAATTAGGAAATATATCTTTATTCATTTCACCCATGTGGTAGGACATGTCATTTCCTTTACATAAAATACAGTAATACATGTAATACATGTTTAAAATTTTAGCTCATCTGATACAGATGCTGATATGAACTTTTGTGATCAAATTTTATCCTTTATCAATTTCTATCATCTTATTCTATTAGATGTAGCATCTTCTATAAAGTTTGTTTAAAATGGCCTATGAAGAAAGGTTGGTGCCTTAGTAGTGATTTAAATTAAGTATTAAACTATTTTCAATTTAAAATGCAAGCATCTTTATACACTGAACATAGCAGACTTAATTTTGTTCAAACATTGGTCATAGGAGCCATGATAGGGCAATAGGAGGACTTATTTATTGCACATCCCAAGTGACCATGTTTTGAGGCCACAGTAGGAACAATGAAATTTATCAAGCATGTTGTAAAGTAAACTATCTTAAAATAGAAAAAAAACAGCTGCAATTTACCTGCAATACAATGTACATGGTTTATACTGTGAAACACATTTGCAATGAACATGCTTACAGTGAAAAGATTTTCATTCCCTGTAGTTGTTAAATATATCATGAACTTATTGGATGTAATAACAAATTACGTTTATATTGTAAATGAATCAAATTTGTTTGTCCCTGACACTCTGCTATAAGCATGTTTTACTGTAATTGGAGTAGTCTCAGGTTTAT